TAACACTTAGTGGCTGAGTTGCTGTTGTTCCCAGTTGCTTCCACTTTGTTATAATACCACTAACAGTTGACCGTGGAATATTTAGTAGCAAGGAAATTTCATGGATGGACTTATTGCACAGGTGGCAACCTATCACGGTACCACGCTTGAGTTCACTGAGCTCCTGAGAGCGACCCATTCTTCCACAAATGTTTGTAGAAGCAAACCACATGCTTAGGTGCTTGATTGTATACACTTGTGGCCATGGAGGTGATTGGAACACCTGAATACAATGATTTGGAAGGGAGTCCCAATACTTTGGGCAATATAGTGTATATTCTTTGCAAATTGAATGTGGAATATAGCATATTATTTCCCCTAAAAAGAGCTGATAAGCTGATAGAGCTACTTATTGCTTATTATAGTCTGCACCATCTAATGGCCTTCCTTTTGGAAGAACTGCAAACAACTGTGGCAGTTTTTAGCTGAAGAGACACATAGATTTCTTAAGGAAAACTGCATTAGATATATAGGGTTAAATCCAGTGCTGGCCAGGATGAGCAGACATTTTGATAGCAATAATCCTACATTATAAAGACAGCGTAATAAATGTTCCTTACTGCACAGCCTGCAAAGTAGGATCTGTGACTAGTGACAATGATTGTGAATTCTCCTCCTGTATGTCTGATGCAAGCAGTTCTTGACTAGAAATGTAACAAGGGGATACAAGGTCAGTGTCAACAGTAACCTCTCCAGTCCTTAATGTTACAATACTGTGTTTGTGTAATCTTCACATGAACATAGATGTTTTTTGTTAATTTGCCTCAATAACCCCCCAGGGCCCCATATTGTTATACCACTGTCAAGCCAGGTAATTGGCATACGCAGAAAGACAGGTGTATTTTAAAAGGCTTTTTCTTTTTCAGCAGGAAAATGCAAAACTCCATTTACAGAAGGACTTTAGACAAAATTAAAGGTAAAATACTAACTGTAGTTCTAACAGTCCGATGTCCATGAAGTCCCTTGCTGGTGTCAGCATTTTTTCCCTGGTGTCTTCCAGGTGCTGATATTTGACCATCTTTATTGGCCGGCACAATATGACATCATTTTTGCCCATGTTCCAGGAGTGCAGTCATACCGGCACAAAGGCAGCATGTTGGAATGTAAACTGGGTTCTGAACAGGCAGGTATGTGCATAAGTGTATTTTATTGCAGAAGAGACATTGCATGTCTCTTCTGCAATAAAAAACCTGCCTGTAAGCAATTTTTTCATTTTAGTTTTAGTACTGCTTTTAAGCGTAACTAAACGCATCATATTAACTACTTCCCATAACAGTTACATTCAAGGCATACCATGAATGTAAACTGTCAAAGTTGCTTGTGTTCTCAATTGAACTATCAAGTCATCAAATAACTGGTATCATAACTGATCACATAAGAAACACCATGGCAACTTCAGATTAAACAGAGGCTAAGATGGCAGCTTCCTTGGCTGTAAAGGATAGAAAGGTTTACATCTGTTTTTAAATGATGCCTGTGTTGAGGAATATGTAGGCTGTCATTATTAACCTCTCCCAAAATGCTAGACTTCAAATTTTACTGAGTTACTGACAGCCCCTGAATATTTCTCATGTATAAAAAATGTAAATTGAAGTGCCATATCACTGCTAAGAGGTCCAGATACATATTTTCCACTAAAAGTCAAGAGGATAATCCAAACAGTGGCAATGCGTTTTGGGGCATCCCCCTGACTGTATATGGATTAAAGTTGTTTCTGGAGCAGTGGTGTGTCACTTCAGCTTATATTTTTCTTATATTACACCACAAGCAAAGAGGCCATGGAGATCCTCCAAGGCAGGGGTGTCAAACTGGCGGCCCTCCAGCTGTTGAAAAAACTAGTCCCATCATGCCTTTCAGAGTGATGCTTGTAACTGTCAATCTTGCAATGCCTCAAGGGACTTGTAGTTTGGCAACAGCTGGAGGGCCGCCAGTTTGACACCCATGATCTAGGGTGTAGAGGCCATCTGCCCTGGAAACCAGATTATTAACATCAACATCAATACTTTAAGATAGCAATATCAATAAGATAACCTTACAGAGCCAGCACTATTTTTCCACTTTCTTGAACTACATACGTCTCATAACCAGCTTCCCTTAAGTCAGAAAGGAGCACACAACAATTTTCGATTGTTAAGGAGCTACTTGTCAGATGCTCTGAGGCCACAAAAGCTATTTTTTTTCTTGTACAACATAGTTTTGCTGCACTAAAAAAAGCAGAACTTCTCCAAGTTATCCAGATGCCACTGAACTGCTCCAAACAGCCTTCTAACAACTGATCAATTCTCGTATCCACTCATAGACATAAGATTTGAGTGACACATTAGTTGAAAGGGGAAAAGTATGGAAATGTAGTGAACCACTAGTATTCTGTAAAAAACAGGCATCCCTCCAAAACCCAAGACGCTCTGTCAGGGATCCCGGCCGCTTGGAGGTGCGCGCATGCGCAGATCGACGACACGCACTAGCTGGCGAGCACTGAGACTTAGGCGATCACAGCGGCGGCCGCGCATGCGCACTCGCAATCGCGGGCGCGCATCTGTCACCAATGAGAGCACAGGGCGCCCTATTTAAATCAGCCCTGTGCATCTCCAAATCACCTTATGGTCTTGTTCCCTGTTCCTGTGTTCCTGATTGCCTTGTTGCCGACCCAGCCTGATCCTGATACTGCTGTCCTCTCCTGCTCTGACCCCTGGCTCGTCCTGACTATTCTCTGCCTGATCCTGATTGCCTGACCTCCTGTTACTGAACCCGGCTCGTGACCCGTTATTCTTCTGCCTGCCGCTTTGTACTGTCTGCTCCGCTGTTACCAACCCGGCCTGTCTGACCACGCATACCTCTTCACATCTGGCTCTTACCTGCTCTACGCCCTTGGCATCTGCCTCTACCACAGCTGGTGTTTCTCGGGGGTCACGACCTGGTCTCAGGCAACTTCAAGTCCATCCCCACCATCAGGGGCTCTGGTGAACCAGCAGACTGAGGCTTAGAGTCCGCGCCCTGAAGGACTCCGGCCAGTGGGCCGCTAGAGGCTACCGCTAGTCGGCAGCTGACATGCTCTACTATGCAAATTTAAACTTCAACTAGATAATTGACCCTTGAGCTCACTACAGGCTCACCAATGAGTTAAACAGGCTCGCTGACCACTTGTTAGGCAGAGGGAATACAAGGGCGTGGCCAAAGACTGACTTTCTAAGTAAAGTCAGTACTTACATATTAGTGCGCCCCTGAATGTTAAAGTAGAACTATAGCCAACATTTCATTTTGGAGCAAGGGAGGGTTGTAACCCCCGTTAGATTTTTTTTTGCTATCTGTGTCCCATTGCAGAGATTTCTCTTCATTTCCTGTCCCATAGCTATACAGGAAGTGAGAGGAAATCTGTGCACATTAAGGGAATTCCTTGGGAACCCTCAGGTCACCAAAACTAGTGTCCCCATTGGAAGATTTCCCCTCTGTTGCTTTTCTGGGGATAACCCAAAATTTGGGATTTTTTTTTCCTTGAATGATAATGGTAAACAGGACAAACAGAGAGGGTGAATTTTCCCTCAGGGAGCAGACAACAATAAAAACTGACAGGTGTTTAATCCATGTCCACTCTGTTCAAAACCATCCCTCCCAACTGTCCCAGATTTCAAGGGACTGTCCCTAATTTGGAACAAAGTTCCTCTATCCCTCCTTCCCCATCATTCGTCCCTCATTTTGATCTGATCTATATAGTTGTATATAAAATGCACTATTTTGCTATCAAAAAGTGTTCCCCGGTGCTAAATCTTTCATCCAGTTTCTAAATTATTGCATTTGTAAACATTAGAAGCCAGTTTAAAGGAATAGTAGCGGTAAAAATAAAAAACAGCTTGTGGGTTTTCCTAATCTTTTTTTTTGTCTAATTCTCCTTTATGGGGAAGTGTGTGTCCTATGCCTACATACATTTGCTTATGGATATCCCTCGTTCCCATCTCAGAATGTTGGGAAATATGCCAAAACTAAAAAAAAAAATGCCTTTAAAAAAATGCCTTTTAAGCCTCATAGAGTGCTTTTGAAAATAGCAAAAGCAATGTAAATACACCTGGGGATGCCTGTTATGACATTATATAGGCAGTGTACTCTAATTCCACTGATTAAAGAAGCACTGTAAGATATAAGATGGTAAGAAACTAAAACAGTTATGTATTTATTATAACAATAAATGATATAAAATACTATATTTTCAGTCTGACTTATTTGCAAAAATTAGTAGCCATCATGCTGTTTCCATAGCAACCCCCTTACAATCTGAAAAGCAATATTATCACTAGAACTATATAAATATGTCCTTATACTTTTTTCCCTCCCACATAACAAATGTCCAGCTACAAAGCATTATATAAGAAAGTATAGTAGCCGTTTGTATACGTGCAGGAAACAAAAGGCCAGTTTAGTAGAGTTAGTTTAGTAGGTTTACAATAGAAATCTTCAGCAAGAGAAAATGTATCAGAATATTGCAGACAGGATCTCTCAGTTAGCTTGTAGATATAATATTATTTAGTTTAAATAAATGATTCCATGAAAATGTAGATAATCAGCTAGGAATATACTCCCAAATTGCTTTACAAATGCATTTTAACCGCTTTAGCTCCACCCCATAGCAGAAATACTGCTGCAGTGCGGCAACTATGGTCAAAATCTTGTATATATACATGATTTTGCATTTCCGGGTAGGGGGCGCGCACACCCTACCCACGCCACCATTTGGGGCTGCGGCTGTCAATCACCAGGTCCCACCCGGTGATTACTCGCCGATGCCCGGTGATTGCTCAGGATATCCAAGGGGGGGGAAGCTGTTAGCAAACAAAACAGTTCTCCTCCCTGTCAGTTCCTGAACACTACTTTGCATGGCTGTGCACACACAGCCATGCAAAGCAGTGTGCTTATAGTGAAGCACAAACACAGAACATGATGTAAAATGGCACATAGCTAACCCTTTGATCGCCCCACATGTTAACCCCTTCCTGCCCAGTGCCATTAGTACAGTGTTAGTGCTTTTTATTAGCACTGATCACTGTATTGGTGTCACTGGGGATGTCAGTGACACCAAGTCAGTTCCTCCCAGTGTCTGAATTAGTTCCCCCCAGTGTCTGAATTCCTGAGTTCAGCAGTCCTGATATAAGTTGCTGATCACCGCCATTACTAGAAAAAAAAAAAGCCCATTATATATACCGCCATTTGTAAACACTATAACTTTCATGCAAACCAATTAATTTACATGTATTGGGATATTTTTTAGCAAAGACATGTAGCAGAATACATTTTGACCTAACTTTATGACAAAACTTGATTTTTTTTTAAATTTGTTTACTGGACATGTTTAATAGCAAAAAGTCCAAAGTATTGTTTTTTTTTTTCTCAAAATTGTTTTTTTTTTTATAGCACAAAAAATTAAAAATGCACAGGCATTCAAATACCACCAAAAGAAAGCTCTATTTGTGGGAAAAAAAGAACATAAATTGCATTTGGGTGCAGCGTTGCATGACCGCACAATTGTCAGTTAAAAATAACGCAGAGCCGTAACGCCAACAATTTGCCTGGTCAGGAAGGGGGGTAAATTCTCTGGAGGGCAAGTGGTTAAATATGAATTTCCATAAGCCCTTTACATGTAAATAGTCCCCTTCTCCTTTTTAGTCTCTAGATGGCGCTATACGTTCAAATATAAAATCAGCAGCAACAATAGGAGCAGACCTTGCAGCAGAGATGCTAAGGATGCCACAGTTTATATAACTTTTTATCAACAAATTAATATTGTGGTTTGTGGAAAGAATTAATTTTCACTTAGTAATATTAGAGCGTGGTGAAACATGTTACTATATTTTATATGTACATCTTTGCAACATGATTATTAAACTTGTGAATCTGGAGCAGTTTTGAAAGCCTTCTGAATGAATTAGAAATGAGTGTACTATTTCAGAAGGTGTAAACCTGAACTCCAGGGACAAAACTAAATTCATAGAAGATTTGTAATTCGCCAAACAGCTCCTCCAGACAACACAAACAGGTAACCTCACGTTCTGCACTGCAGAAAAACAGTACAGCTAACCCATCCCTAAAGGATAAGTTCACTTTTTGTAAGAAAAGAAAAAACATAAGTAAATGCACATCTTTTCAGGTAAAAAAATGTGCTATTATATTTTTTTAAGGAGCCTGCAGAGTGTTGCAACATAATAAGCAGATAGCAGATGCAATCTCGTCTCCTGCAGACCCTCAGCATAGCTGTCTGCTCGTACCTTGTAAGGGCAGGCGGTTACCTGAGAATAGGAAGATCAACGAACTACCAGAGCGCTCACCAACACTCTCATACTTCATTGAGAACTACAAGCCATCAGATGCAATAGCTGGTGGTACTTGTAGGCATTCATCCACAGCAAAATGTGAATGAATGATGTGGTAGTGTGGGTATTTTCAAATAGTGACAGTGGGTGTGAGGAGAAGATCCCCCGTTGTCACTGGGAGGTGGGAGAGAGGGTGTTACATGTTCCATCCTGAAAACAGGTGGAACATGTAGCATGTTCCAAAGGTGAATTTATCCTTTAAGCTGTCCATTGATGGATTGATATTTGACTGGTTGAGCATCGACCGGACAAATTTCAATCTATATGTGGCCACTTCCATTCAACAGAATTCGAATTAACAATCAATTCCATTGAATGGGCTTGTTAGAAAACTTTCACTGATCAGTGTATTCTGACAGGGAAAGTCCCCATTGTCACAATCAGGGGTGTATTTACCACAAGGCAAACAAGGCACTTGCCTAGGGCGGCATTTTTCAGGGGGGCAGCACCAGAAGAAGGGAGGAAAGAAGGGACATGCACACCATGGGAACCAGGTGGGATCTGAGAGAGGCTGCGGGCTGCTTGATGGTGTATGTAGAGCCTGACTCTCATTCCCGGGGATGTCTGGAGCTGTGAAGATGAGTGTCTTTCTCTCTATCACCTGGGGGGTAGTGGAACGCTTTCCCAGATGGGAGGCATGGGTGCCTAGGGCAGCACAAAACCTAAATGTACCACTGGTCACAATACAATATCTCAACGGGGATGATGCCTCTAGCCACTTTGTGTGGATGTAAGAATCTGTTGTTTTTTTTTTGTTCCGCCCACTGTCTGAATGAAAAAACAATCCATCTATGGCTAGTTTTAGACAGCTGATGCAGGATAGAATAATGATGAAACCATCACTTTGCTCTCCTGTCACCAAGGTCCCAATGGTTCATTTTCAGCACTGTGCAACTCCTAGTCTAAATCCTGCTGTGCAAAATATTTCAGGAAACTAGACAGACAGATCGATTGAGATATTAAAACTGAAACAAACTGAGATATTTATACTAGCTGTAGTTAAAAAATAATAATTGAAGAATGCAACAGTGGCGTCCACCTTCAGCCTTTTTTCTTTTTAGTTTTGGTTAAAGTGGCAAAGTCTTAACATTTCTATGGCTTTCTATTTTGGTCTATGTTCCAGTTAGGGAGATTTTTCCCTCGCTTTCCATAACTGTGACACCTGTACAAGAATTACTAAGAAAGGAAGGAATGGATGGTAATTAAAATGCCACCAGAAGTAGTAACCTCTCCCTGCTTTATTGAAACTATGTTTTGGTCTGTGTTCTTGTTGGAAAGATTTCCCATCATTTCAGTCTTGATATAAAGTGAGTATGAATCTCACTAAGGGTACATTCATACCTGCATGCCTCAAGAAGGCCATACAGCACACATTCAGGTGTAAATCTGTGAGGAGTCACAGCCTGATGCTAGCAGCCTGTCAGTCAATGAATGGCTGTACTTCGATTTATTCACATCTGAGCAGTACTTGCATACAGGGGCATATGTGCTGTGCTGAAAGCAGACTGTCAGAATGCATACATGCAGACGCAGAGTGTTCAACTACCAAAAATATTAAATAATCTTAATATATTTTCTAATGCCACAACACAGGAAAGATAATTTCACACCTGGCCAGTAGACTGACAGGTGATTGCAGTCACAATAGGCAGATGGGTAGCCCTAAGGTGTACTGTGGAACAGACTGTTCAGTGTCCACTTTATATCATCAGCTTATGTCAACTTCAGATTACTTTTTTACTTGGTATCAACTTCAATTTAAGTTTTAAAGTCAATTGCCAAGTTGTAGAAAAGCAATGACAGGTAATAACGGACAGTGAGACACAATCAATCCAGATACAAATATATTGTGGCCAAATGCCAACTCAGTATATACTAGGTTCTTTTTTCTGTCTATATAAATAATAAAAGTGCTCCAAGAAAAGATGTTTAGCATATTATATCTGCTCCTAAATGACTACTAAATTGGAGGATCTGCCTTCCTTATCATCTCATTAACAATCCATATGTTTTGGGAGGAAGGGTGCACCAGCTGTACAACTTTGAAGAGTTCTAGATAGTTAAATTTTTCAAACATTAGAGAAAGATATAAAGACATATTTTATAAGGAAAGCAGATTTACAAACCTGCTAAAAATGCCAGAATGCTAATTGATTGCTGACACAGAATAGTTATTTTAGATGGTCTCCACCAAAAATTGGTCTATGTATGGACCATCATTGATTTTGCAGTCAACAGTCATCTCATGACTGGGGTGGAGTATGCAGTTGTGCAAGGGTCATATTGATTCTTTCCATATTATTCACACCATTGTCCCCTGAGAAAAATTGGTCCTTCAGATTTGGCAATCCTGAGTTGAGTAACTTTTGGATGGAAGTTTGTCTTTTTTCAGCCAGACTAACTATCTAACTTTTGCCTCAGGCTTACTAAGTTCTTTGAAGGGCTCAGCTCAACTCCAATCCTTAGCAAACTATTTTACATGAGGCTTTCTGTGACTCCACAGCTCTTAGAAAATTGAACACTAACATTCAGTCAAGTTACCAATACCACAGATGAACAATCAGAATGACAGAACAGCATTACTGGGTCACAGCTGTTGGTTTTTTGTTGCTCAGTGACCCACATATTGTTAAACCACTGGGCTTTACAGATGAAAACTGAAATATTATTGGGAATGCAATATTTTTCATGTTCCGATTAGAGAGGTTAACTGGATCTAACCATGGTTTTTCAAGTGTGTAATTCTACAGTTATGTGCTTTGAACGCATTTGGTAAAAAAAAAATGCATGACTTGAACACATTTGCGTATAAAAAAAATGCGAGGATGATTTATAAGGCAGCATCAATTTAAAGCTGAATTGTAGGCAAACAATTTAATAAAGAGTTGCAATACATACAGCACATGTGAATGATCAAATCATTTGCCATTCTTGCAGTTCTTTTGGTTCAAATGCACCTGTCACCTGTTATTACTGAACAGTAAGGTCCTGCTCTCTCTGGGGTCTCCCTTCAGATATTACTGAGCAATATCCTGCTCTTAAAGCAGACCCCACTTGTGACTAAATAAGCTTCAACACAGTGGTATGATCTTCACTTTGTTTTCTCCTTTTCTCTCCTCCAGAAGATTCCAGTGTAAAGCTGGGTACACACTATAGGAAAATTGGAAGAAAATTTCCACACGAGGAACAATGGGTCAATTATCTGTTCATTAGTATAGTGATTTCAACAGCCAATTCCGACTGTTCTGACAAAAAAAACCAAACGTGCAAGCTAGAACATTTTATTGTATGGGAACACAACATCTGATTTTTTGCTAAATGTGTAAAGTAATTGTATGGAAATAATCAAATAGAAAAAAAAAGCACATGATCAGAAGCAAAGAATGACCTGAAGAAGGTGGCAACAAACACAAAAAAGAACATGTGCCTTTGTTGTTCAAGAATTTTTGTACACGATAATACCACTGTTGGGTACATCATGATATGCACCTTCATGGAAAATCAGACGATGTTGGGTACATCATGATATGCACCTTCATGGAAAATCAGACGATCGATCGTTCATCTGATTTTCTTATAGAGTGTACCCCACTTTAGGTGAAGTAGTACAGCCTAAATACCTCCAAGTGGGAGTGATGCTGTGCAAATCAATAATGAAGGCTGTTAAAAGAGATCCAGGTACTTTTGTCTGCTGCAATATAAATTACTATTTTTCTTACTGAATTCATAACTGGTTTGTAGGCTGTTTTTTAACTTTCATTTAGAGTTCGACTTAAAACAAAAATTGCGAGCTATATAAATACAATTATTTTGTGATAAGATCCAAGGAACATTGCAACTAAACTGCAGACAGAAAGTCCACTGAAATTACCTTTATACAATAATTTATATAATCC